GGATGTTCCTCAAGAGACAGCAAATAAAACCAGGATACGAGTCAGCTCCTTCTATGCACATAACGGAAGGGGTCAAAGCGCACACACTAGAGATACCTGCATCCCCAGGTTTATTGCAGCACTGTGCATGTAGCCAAGTGTTAGAAGCAGTCGATGTGTCTATCAGTGGATGAATGGATAAAGAAAATGTGCTATCTAATCACAATGGCGTTTAATCAGCCATGGAGACGAACAAAACCATGTGGCAGGCGGGAGAATGGATCAAACTAGGGATTATCGTGTTAAGCAAAAATACGCCAGACTCAGAAAAACAAAACGCTCATGTCTTTTCTCATGTACAGAATCTAATATTAAAATAAAAAAAGATAGTGAAGGTAGAAGGACTATTTGACAGGTGAAAAGGCACTAAAAGGAGGGGGACAAGAGAGGCTACTGGAGTGGGTACGGTTAAAGTATATTATATGCTTCTATAAAAATATCACAATAAACATTGTTTTATACAGTTAAAATATGATAATAATTTTAAGGTATGTCTTTGTACACAATGAGATTTCAAGGGTAGATGCTAAGATACTTCGCAGCCATCTCCAGCTGGCAGAATTCCTGGTAATTTTTCATTTGTTGGTTTTCTAAGACAATGCGTCTTGCTATATTAACCATTGTCTTATAAAGTATAGTGAATATAAAACAAAACAATATAATTTTGTGTATGTGTGTTCATGTATGTGTGTGTATGTGCATGTTCAGGCCAGAGATTGATATAGACCTTCTTTCTCAGTCGCTCTCACCTTGTTTTTTGAGACGGGTTCTCACCGAATTTGGAGCTTGCCAGTTTGGCTAGACTGGCTGGCCAACGAGTCCTGGGAATGCTCTTGTTTTCCTCTCCCCAGTTCTGGGGTTATAAGTGCACACTGCCTTTGAAACGGATGCTGGGGATCTAAATTTAGGTTCTCAGAACTTCACCAAGCGCACCTTGCCTGGTCCTCTAGGTTGTTTTTGTTTGTTGTTTTTTTCCAATGGGTGTTTTGCCTGCATGTATGTTTGTGCACCGCTTGTGTGCCTAGCACCTGAAGAGACCAGAAGAGAGCACTAGATCTCCTGGAACTGGATTTACAGATAGTTGTAAGCCACCATGTAGGTGCTAGGAATTGAATCTGGATCCTCTGGAAGAGTAGCTAGTGCTCTTAATGGCTAAGACATCTCTCCAGCCACGTAGTATCGTTTTTTTGTTTGTTTGTTTGTTTGTTTGTTTTAGGTAAAGAATTCATCTTTTCTTAGTCTCCCCAACAGGCCCTACCTCCTGGGTGTCAAAGGTCCCATATAAGAACTGTCCATCCATAGAAGACTGGGTTTCCAGGGAGGAGAGTTGTACTCAAAATACCAGAGGAAGTCTGATCTGTCTTTCCCGCTGCTGTCTTTCAGCATGTGGTGTTTTCTACAGCAATCTACTGAACTGCTGAGTTGGGAATCTGGCCTATTGTTAGTATATCATCATCAATAGCTTTGTGGATTTTGACCAAAGGTAACTTTGTCCATCTTTGGATACATGAGGACTGCTAAATATAAGTACCAATCCCCATCTTGTGATATTTGGAATAAGTGAATGTACTTGCATCATTCTGTGTTAGAGGTAAAGATGCCTTTTCCTTCTATTAGGATGTCAGTGCAGATGCATTTATACAAGATGATCATGCTCCTGAAAGCACAGTCAAGGACTGGGAAAATGACACTCTTGGGACAGCTGTTCTTAGAAGGAACATAAGAACGTCCTTGTGGGTATCTAGTAGTTTGAGACTTGTTTAGGATCCATTTAAAAAAGGCATTAGGGGCCGGGCGGTGGTGGCGCACGCCTTTAATCCCAGCACTCGGGAGGCAGAGCCAGGCGGATCTCTGTGAGTTCGAGGCCAGCCTGGGCTACCAAGTGAGTTCCAGGACAGGCGCAAAGCTACACAGAGAAACCCTGTCTCGAAAAACCAAAAAAAAAAAAAAAAAAAGGCATTAGGATTTTTTGGCAGATAGATTGTCATGAAGCATACTGATATTAAATAAGTATAGATGATTGTCGGACACAAAGAGCAAAATCCAGGTTCATTTTGCTTTGGCTTTCTTTGCCTAATTTTTGAGCACTGATGAATTTAAGGTTGTATTCCTACCCCCCACACATTAACTCATGAATTACAAAGTGAGGTGAGTGCAGTCGCTTGGAGAATAATAATGACTGTGGCCTCTCTGAGTTTAACATGAACATATCAGTTGGTCTTTTGTCTGTTATCAATTACTGTTTCTTTTTGTTTTTTGTTTTGTTTTGTTTTTTGTTTTTGTTTTTTGAGACAGGGTTTCTCTGTGTTGCTTTTCGCCTTTCCTGGAACTCACTCTGTAGCCCAGGCTGGCCTCGAACTCACAGAGATCTGCCTGTCTCTGCCTCCTGATTGCTGGGATTAAATGTGTGCGCCGCTGCCGCCGCCACCACCACCACCACCACCACCACCACCGCCTGGCTCAATTACTGTCTCTATAGTAACTTGTGGTGGTTTGAAAGAAAATGCCCCCCAAAGGGAGTGGCACTATTAGGAGGTGTGGCCTTATTGGAATAGGTGCAGTCTTGTTGGAAGAAGTGTGTTACTGTGGGGGCGGGCTTTGAGATCTCTTGTCTCAAGCTTCACTCAGTGTGACAGTCAGTCGACTTCCTGTTGCCTCCGAGTCAAGATGTAGGACTCTCAGCTCCAGTGCCACATCTGCCTGCATGCTGACATGCTCCCCATCCTGATGATAATGGCCTGAACCTCTGAAACTATAAGCCACCTCAATTAAATGTTTTTATTTATAAGAGTTGCCATGATCATGGTGTCTCTTCACAGCAATAAAAAACCCTAACTAATCACCAGGCGGTGGTGGCACACGCCTTTAATCCCAGCACTCAGGAGGCAGAGGCAGGTGGATCTCTGTGAATTCGAGGTCAGCCTGGTCTACAGAGTGAGTTCCAGGGCAGGTAGAGCAACACAGAGAAACCCTGTTTTGAAAAAACAAAAACAAACAACAACAACAAAACACCCAAAAACCAAAATATAAAAAGACGTAACTCATGGGTTTGGGGATTTAGCTCAGTGGTAGAGCGCTTGCCTAACAAGTACAAGGCCCTGGGTTGGTGGGGGTGGGGGTGGGACAGGACACGACACACATAACTCAACTTGTTCTAATGGATGTCTTCATAACTTTCAGTAATAGTAGCTGCTACAGGAGGGGACATATGTGTCTTCTTCTCTAGAACCCGTATGTTTAGCTTTATGGAGAACTCTAGAACCTAGTACCCAACAAAGAATTGCTTCATAGAGACACTCATGTCCACACAGCTCTTGTAAATTGAGGGCCCTAGGGATGGGTATTTGGGAAGTAATTACTATGGAAAAGTCAGAACTTTATTTTTCACAGAAAGAGAAAAGTGGTAGATATTTTCTTCCTCTCTCTCTCTCTCTCTCTCTCTCTCTCTCTCTCTCTCTCTCTCTCTGTCTGTCTCTTTTGTTTTTTTGAGACAGGATTTCACTGTGTAGCTTTGTGCCTTTCCTGGAACTCGCTTTGTAGACCAGGCTGGCCTCAAACTCACAGAGATCCACCTGACTCTGCCTCCTGAGTGCTGGGATTAAAGGCACGCACCACCACCGCCCGGTGATATTTTCTTAAAACATCAAAATATGCAGGATTTTAAAAATGAATGCAAACACTGAAAAATGGCTATAAGAATTTTTAAAAGCTTTTTACATTTATCTACTTTGTGTGCCATCAGAGGACAGTTTGCAGGAACTGGTTCTCTCCTTCTTCCACATGGGTCCTAGGGATTAAACTCAGGTTTGGAGGCAAGCAACTGTATCTGCTGAGCCATCTCCTGGCCTTTGTTGTTTGTTTTGTTAACAAAACAAAGGGGAAAAAACAGAGATTATTATCTAGACAATAATGGAATAGGATAAAAGAAATAGAGGACAGAGGGACACTTCTCTGAGTAAACCTGTTTGTAGTTTTGACTTTTACAAACATTAATATTTTACTTATTAAAAAGAAATTCAATTGGGATGGGGAGCAGCTAATGCCTAAAGTCCCAGCCCTCAGGAAGCTAAGACGAGAATCATGAGTACCAAAACAGCCAGACCCTGTCTCAACAGAAGGGGAAAGAATGTGCAAGACCATCGTGGACTGAAGCTGCAGATAACAGAAGAGTGCTTGCTTAGCCTGCAGAAGGCCTGAAAATGCACACACAATGAAAGACGAAGAAAAGCTGAGACCCTCCTCCAGATTGAAGGGTTCTAAACAGGCCGTGGCAGGCTATGGCAGAGTGTTCTGTTTGGTCCTAGATTAGATCCTGAACTGGAAAAGAAATGCATATAACGGACAGCATTTGTACATATTGTGAAACTTGAGTAGTCTAGAGACCAGAGGGCAACATTGTAGCAGCGTCAATTTTCTTGATTTCTGTTATTTGTGCAGAGGTTACGTAAAGTAACCTTGTTCTTGAGAAACACACACTGAGACATTCCAAGGTGAATAGACACATGGAGACAGCCTGCTCTAAGACAGCTGAGAAAAAAAAAATCCGTGTGCCAACACACACAGCACACTGAGAGGGTGCACGCTAACAGGACAAAACTGTAATGGGTTTATAAAATAGATGAAGGGTAAAGAGTTGTTTGTAGTATTTCTTCAGCTTTTAGATAAGTTCAAAATTCAAAAGAATTTGCTCTTTTTAAAATGTGCTTCTGGCTCCTTTCCGACACATTTATCTACTCCCTGTCTAGACTTCCTTAAATTAGTGAAGAGCTTGCGTAATCTTGAACTTTACTGATGAGATGACATGGAGGAGATGAAAATTACAATCACAAAATGGTAATGAAATGAGAGGGGAGAAAGTGAGGCTGTTCCCTTTGGCACAGGGCCTCTGTCTGAGGAGAGCTGGGCTTCCAGGTCTGTCCCTCATCCTTGTCCTACAGGAGAAAGGAAGAATTTTAGCCACAGACTTTTTATCATCATTGTTTAATCTTAATTTGATCACTGGTAGCTGGAACGGCAAATCACAGAAAGTAGCAACAGGGACGTGTGTGTATTCCATATTGTGTACCCTATCTTAAAAGGGAAGGCCATGCAGAGCTGAGCAAGACCCTGATACAGATTGGGTCCATCATGCTAACCAGAGAACATTCTCCAGTTTTAACACTTTTCATGGAATCACTGTGTGGTTAAATTTCTTTAATGTCCAGAACAACATGAGTACAATATGCTTTGCTGTGATTCAGATATTTATAGTAGACAGCTGTAAGCCCCCACCCAGGGGTTTAGGTACAGATTTCACAATCACAAAGAACCAGCAGCGTCATCCTCAGAGGACACTCACCAGAGGAGTAAAGGAGGAAGGTTGACAACGTGCTTTGTTTAACCAAAACATGAACGGAAAACCGGGACGTGTCACCAAATTCACAGCCCAAAAGAGAAACAAATACCATTATTAGCAACATATATCATCCTATAGATAACCAGTTAAAGCTGAACGTAGTTTCTCACAGACAGAACTCAGGAGACTAGGATCAGGTCAGCTCATGCTCCACGCACTTAGCCAGTACCTGTAGCTTACAACAGAATCTTTGCACTCTGAAGGCCCCGCTCAAGGTCCTGACTCTAGGACACTTTGGTTTCCTCTAACGGTTTGGGGGTATGCTTTATCTGTGTTAATGGGCATGAGTAGCCCTGTAAACCCCGCTACTTTTCAAAGTCAATAAGGATCAGTTTCACAAAAGATAAATTGAGAAGGCTAATTCTGTGTGACCAGGGAGCAATACTCTCTCCACTCCAGTTCTGGGTCCCTTTGCTTTCACTGGGGTATCCCTCTATTGTGAGTGATGAATACCCAATAGAGGATTAAAATGACATTTTCATAGAAAGATTTCCAATTCTGCCAGCAGCCAAGGCCTTAAAGGAAAAGAACCAAGTACGTCTAGAGCTGGTAGAGCAGGTTTTTTAATAAAGTCACACCCTCCTGGTATCACGTAGGCCTGGGAACTTCTGTCTCAGAGATGTGAGCCAATTAGTATTTTCTACTAAATTCTTGGCAGGTGTCAACCTGCCCTTCACAAAGGCTCCACAACTATGGCACACCAAACGTGCTCCATCTCAACATCAGGTCTCTGCAGGGCTAGAATAGAGGCCTGGGTGGATTAGCCTTGTCCTGCCCAAGAGTCCCCCATCCCAAAGGCTCCTTGGCATGTAACTCTGTTCTTCCAGTGTTGGAGGGAGAACTCAGGTACACATCTAATTCCCAGGAAACCAGGCCAATTCTTCCTCCTCCTCCTCCTCCTCCTCCTCCTCCTTCTTCTTCTTTCCATCCTCTTAGAAAATGAGGTTAAAAGAGAGCTGGCTTCCACTGAGTGAAATGAAATCCAGATTTTTTTTTTCTTTTTGAAACAGGATCTTGCTATAGACAAAGCTGCCTCCATTGCCCACGTGCTGGGATTACAGGTATGTTTCACCACAGCCAGCTGAAGTGTAGAGAATTTAACACAGCGTCAAATGATAGCAAATTCGACTAGAAAGTTCCTGACAGGACTTTCCACCTGCCAGCTCTCCATGTAGCACTGCACAGCTTTTATTGTGGATCTTTCATTAATTTAACTTATTTCACACCTTTAATTTCTTGTGCATGTATTTATTTTTAGAATCATCAAAGAAGCATCTTAGGTTCAGTTTTTTCCCCCCTCCTGGTTCTAAAGCTCAAACCCAGGGCTTGGAGCATTCTGGGCAAGCACTCTCTACTGAGTATCACTCCACTTCCAGTTTGTTTATATAAAAATACTTCAGTTAGAATCTCTGTGAGTACGAGGCCAGCCTGGTCTACAAAGTGAGATCCAGGACAGGCACCAAAACTACACAGAGAAACTCTGTCTCGGAAAAAAAAAATACTTCAGCTAAATAGTTCAGTTAAACTCTGCTTTTAAATAATTCCAGTGTACATAATGCATGTTGATACTTTTTTGTTTTTATGTCACTATACCTTACACTTAGTTTTTTGTTTTGTTTTGTTTTTGTTTGGTTGGTTTTTGTTTTTTTTTGAGACAGGATTTCTCTGTGTAGTTTTGGTTCCTGTCCTGGATCTCGCTCTGTAGACCAGACTGGCCTCAAACTCACAGAGATCTGCCTGGCTCTGCCTCCCGAATGCCAGGATTAAAGGCATGTGCCAGCGCTGCCCAGCTTTCACTCTTAATTTTTAAGATGAAACTTACATTTAAACAATGTTTGCTTTGGTGCTGGGGTGGAATCCAGTGCTTCGTGCATGTATCACTGGGCTCCTCCTAGCCAAAGTGTTCATGTTTAAGGGCATAACCAGCTGCACTCTACCCTCAACTGAGCATTTCTGAGCTCACTTCCGGGTCCATTGGGATAGATCGAGCAAGGAAGTCATTTCTTTCAAATGTGAAAGACCTATAAGAAAGAAGGAAAGAAAGAGAGAGAGAGAGAGAGAGAGAGAGAGAGAGAGAGAGAGAGAGAGAGAGAGAGAGAGAGAGAGAGGGGAAGGAAGGAAGGAAGGAAGGAAGAAAGAAAGAAAGAAAGAAAGAAAGAAAGAAAGAAAGAAAGAAAGAAAGAAAGAAAGAAAGAGAGAGGGGGGGGGCGGGAGGGAGGAAGGAAAGAAGAAAGGAAGGAAGAGAGAGAGGAAGGAAAGAAGGGAGGGAGGAAGGAAAGAAGGAAGAAAGGAAGGAAGAACATTCTCCTCTTTTTGCCCAAGGAGCACTTCTTTCCCTACACAGGACAGTGATCTGCACGTGTCTGGGTCTGGATGAGGGAGATCGGGAACTTCAAAGACTCTTAAGGAAAACTGAAAGCATGGTGGGAATCATATTTGTTTTCCACGTTTTGTGTCTGATTTGTCCTGAGAGGAGATTAGAAAGCAATTCTCCTGAAAACAACATTAAAGACCCAACGTTCAATATCCTGGAGAGAATACTTACTGGATAGGGCTGTTATACAATCAATTTCTGCTGGGAACACAGCATATTTCATAAATGACACCAAATGGGAACCAAAAATGATACACAATATTTGTTTAGAGAAAGAGTTACCTCGTTGGTAAAACACGAAAATAACTGTCTGGAAACTTGATCATCATGAGTAGCAGAACAGAAGCCCTCTAGGAAACCAAGCATGCAACGTCAGCACTTTTCTTGACTTGGGGTTCTGAGAGACTGATGGTCTGTGGGAATCACCATGGTTTCACCAGGCATGGGAGTTGTCATAGTTAGGAAAGGGAGAGTAAGAACATCATTCGGCATATGAACAGAAAAACACGCCACAGTACAAAGCACATGATAGCTGCATAAATAACTGCTGATTAAATTACAAAGGGTGATATTCTTAGAAGCCAGTTGAATACCACTCTTATCCAGAGGTGACAGGGGCTTACATTCTCCTTGATTTTCACTGGTCTAAGACAGTTTCATATAGACACATACATATTGCACAATGCTCTATGACAGAATGCCCCAGGGGAAGATTTCCAGTCTGGTCCCAACTGTTCTTCACGGATCAGTTCCCAAAGTCATTGTCCGAGGATGACTCAAGTGTATTTCCAGAGAAGGACCCTGAGTCTGTCTTTCTGCTTCACCAGCAAACGCTAGTGGCATCAGGTGGCCTTGGTAATAGACAAGACTCACTTCACATGGCAGCAGTGGCTATGTGTGTGACTCTTCATTTTGACAATAGACCTTGAGCCTGGACAAGTCTTTGGGGACTTGGAATGGCAGATGATGTTCTTCAAAACAAGCAAACCGGACTGTGGCCATTATTCTTTCCAGGGAAGTTACTGACTTTTCAGGGTAGCTTGCTGTTCCCTTGCCAATACAATTTCTCTTCCACCTTTTTCTTTTTCCACCGGCAGAGGAGCAGCATCTTAAAGGTCTTCCTGAAGGTTCTGTTGCAGAGAGCGTAGCAGATGGGATTGATAGTGCTGTTGACATAGCACAACCAGTAACCCAAGTGCCACAAGGTGACAGGGACACACTTGTCACAGAAGGTGGAAACCAGGACCATGATGTTATAAGGGGTCCATGTGATGATGAAGGCCAGGAGAATGGCACTCAAGGTCTGGGCTGCTTTTCTCTCTTTGACTAGGACCATTCTCTTTCGTTTGGTCATTTGATGGCTGAGGTTGGGATCCAGGCCTCTTGTTGAAGGGTCCTTGGATACCGGGAAGGTACAGGGCATGATTTTCACCTTGCGACAGCCATTGTTAGTCTCCTGGGTCCCATCAGCTTTTACCACCAATTGGAACTTATAGGCAACACACTTCTGACTCTTGAGTCTGTGAGCAGCAGCCGGAGACAGGAAGAATTTGGGAGTGTCATAGTCATTGTTTTCAGTCTGAGCGGTCACAAAAGTTTCCTTTGTCTCTTCAGTGCTGAATTCCTTCCTCGGGCTTTCCTTAGCCTGATTCTTGTAGACCACTTGAAAGACAGGGTCAGTGGTGGGCTTGGCCTCATCCTCTGAGGAGGGGTAGCTGCTACAGGTAGTGACTTGCTCAGTCTTGTCCCAGTCAACACTTAGGCCAGTGGCCTGGTCTGGCTTTCCTGTTGTTGAGGTTCTTCTGCGGGAAGATGACCAGGAGGCCTGATTCCTTTCCCTCTGGGCCAGGCTGGGTCTCGGGCAGCCAAAGAAAGATCTGAGCAGGGTCCTGTGAGCTGGCTTTCTCTTCTTGGCTTCTGCCACAGAATCAGAACCCTGGAGGTCAGCCAGGTCCTTGGTTCGCTTCTCTGTTTCCCGGTAGATCCGGCAGTAGAGTATGGTCATGACAGAGACAGGGATGTAGAAGGCGGCGATGGCCGTGCCGAAAGTAATGGTGGGCTCGGAGAGGAATTGGATCTGGCACTCATCGGGTGGTACTGTCCGCTTCCCAACCAAGTACTGCCAGCAAAGAATTGCTGGTGCCCAGAGGATGAAGGAGATCAGCCAGGCCAAGCCAATCATGATGCCAGCCCTCTTTGGGGTACGCTTGGCCCGGTATGTCAGTGGTCTTGTGATGGAAAAGTAACGGTCAAAGCTAATCACCAGAAGGTTCATGACCGAAGCGTTGCTGGCGACATAGTCTAACGCAAGCCAAAGGTCACAAGCCAGACTCCCGAGAACCCAGCGTCCCATGAGGATGTAGGTCGTGTAGAGGTTCATGGAGAAGATTCCAATGATGAGGTCTGCACAGGCCAAGCTGAGCAGGTAATAGTTGTTAACTGTCTTGAGCTGACTGTTGACTTTGAAGGAGATCATGACCAAGACATTGCCCACAATGGTCATCAGGCTGGCCACAGCTGTCACAGCTGCAATAGTGATGACTTCCCACAGCCCATGGCGTTCCAAAGCCTGGTGATCTACTGGGGTGTCGTTGACTGTGCTTTCATTGTGGTAAGATTCCCCCTCCATCCTGGTTTAAGGAGTTACATTGGGATTTAGTCCGAGGTTTGGAGCTGCTCTCTGTCCTGCCTCCTCTCTTCTCGGCCAGTACCTGGAAGAGATATCAACAGGTCAGCCCCACTCATCACACTTCTGCATGATTTCCCTTTCCATTAGGGGTTCATCATTGCTAACAGAATATGAATTATATGCAGAGCAAGATGCTGGATTGTTGAACCTTTTTTTTTCTGAGAAAGTGACTTAATTTATTGTCAAACTATTGTTACTACTGATAGTGTTGAAATAGTTAAGTATAAGGTAAAAAGCAAAATAAATTTTGGACAACTATATATGTATGTATATGTGTGTGTGTGTGTGTACACATCATTGCAATGGATAACAATATAGTAATAGATGTATATGTTTTTATCATTGCAAAATTCTTCTGCCTAATGAACAAGTATTGGGTTTTAGTTATAAAAATTTTCAATTAATATTTTTCAATGAAAAATTTTCTGACATTTTTATACATGTAAAAAATGTTTGGTCATCTTCATGCCCCAATGCCCTCTCTCACTCCTCTCCTCCTACTGAAATTATTCTTCTTCCACAGAAATCTTTAGACCTTCAGTAACAGTTTTATCAGGGCATGATACATTCTTTTAAAAATGTATTAGTTCTTTGAGAATTTCATATGATGTGTTTTGATCATATTCACTCCCTCCCACAACCCCTCCTGGATCTATTCCTCTTCCCTACCCACCCAACTTTGTGTCCTCTTATTTTTTTAGTGTATTGCTATTTGCATTTTAATGAGCCTCACTGCCTGAGTATCATGCATGTGTGTGAAACTGCTGCCCTCTTGTGGCAGTTTTTTAAAGAGGGGTTGAGAAGAGGAAGGAGAAAGAAAAGGATAGAATTGCTTAAAAGACTGGGAGAGGGGGAGGGTGGAGGTGGGGGAGAAGGATGGTTGGGGAGGGATGAAGGGTGGGACTCGGGGTAGGGTTGGGGGGATAGGGTAGAGGTGGGGTGTGGGTGTGATAGACTTCAATACAGAGGATAGAAACCTGAAATGAACATTGGAGGTAGCACCCAGAGGCGGCAGGCTTAAAACACACCTGCTCACAAAGGGTTAAAAGTCAAGGAGAACTATGGAAGGAATGTGTGAAGAAACAAAGTTTTGACATGTCTTTTTTAAAAAGATGGCTCTTTTTAAGTAACACACATCTAACCTTTTGTTGTTGTTGTTGTTGTTGTTGTTGTTGTTTTGAGACAGAGTTTCTCTGTGTAGTTTTGGTGCCTGTCGTGGATCTCGTTCTGTAGACCAGGCTGACCTTGAACTCCGCCTGGCTGACCTCGAGATCCGCCTGGTTCTGCCTCCCCAGTGCTGGAATTAAAGGCGTGCGTCACCATCACCTGGCCTAACTTCTTTTGATTCACAGAGAGGAAGTGCTGTTTCATTTCAAAAGCTCATTTCAGTTAAGCCATGGCTTCGCAGAGTGGAGGGGGTGGGGAAGGATGGAGAGGGGGACTGGAAGGAGAGGAGGGAGGGAGGAGAAACTGTGAGTGGGCTGGGGGAAAAGAATTAATTAATTAATTTTAAAAAGTCAGGGGGAAAAAAGAGACGGCTTCTCATTGTCTCTGAAGTGATAATATTATCTGCAGCAGGCTTTTAACTAATGCTTTAAAAATACTGTTTGCCAGCATACTAGATGCCTTCGAGCATCAAAGAGTGCATGTATTGAGAGACTTAATCTTGTTCAGCTTTCAAGAGCATCCAGGAAGAAAGCTGAGCCTTCTTCGGGCCAAATTCTTGGGACAGAAAGGTCTATTCCCGAGGATATTAAATGATCACACTGTTGCTGTAGGACAGGAAAGCTGGTGAGACAGTGTATGCTTGAGGACCAAACAGGAGCCACTGAATTCCTGTGTGAAGCTTGTCTCCCAGTCCTGGGGTGGGGTTGGGGATTCCTTTCCCGTCTGTCTTGTGTAGTATTCCCAGACTTTGGGGAATATATCATTTTTCTATGTGTGCCATGCCATTAAAAAGCCTTGGAAGTACTGCTGCAATTAGGTTTATGGGAAAATCTGAAAGCCCAGAAGAATTCCTTGGCAGTTAGCGAACTCTTTCCAATCGACATGAAAGCACGGGCTATGTATTTATCTTTGCAGTCCTAACGAAAGTATCTTTTTCTGTAGGCAACAGGAAGAAGATGTCTTAAGGAGGCAGTGACACACTGCGTCAAGCAAAGCTGATAAATCTAGTAAGATTAGGACTGACACATGAGCCTGGGTTTAGTTCCAAGGAGATAAGAATGCATCTTGGCAAGCTTTTCGGGGCTGTGGTGGTCGGAAGGCACTGTGAAACACGCGAAAGAGGGACCAGGAGGAGAAAAGTGGGAGGAAACTGTGCTACTGACTATGTCTGCATGCTTGCCTGTGGACCACGTTCATGCCTGTATGCAACGCCAATTGAAGACCGGAAGAGGGAGTCAAATCCCTTAGGACTAGAGCAGAGGCCCCACAAGAGTATCCCGAGGGAAGGCTGCCTCTCTCATGTCCCAACTCCAACACGGCTGCCCCCTGCCCCCCAGTAAACCTCTTGCACTAAGTCTGTGCACGTGGAGTGCTTGCTTAGTGTCATACCTTGGCAGGGCCTGCCGAAAGGTACCCACTTTGCCTTCCTTTATATTTATCATCACACACAATACTTTAATCCCAACACTTGGGATGCAGAGGCAGGAGGCTCTCAGTAAGGTTAAGGCTAGCCTGGTCTATATAGGGAGCTCCAGGCCAGCTGAGGCTACATAATGAGATCCATTTAAATTAAAGAAAGAAAGGAAGAAAAAGAAAGAACTATAATAATATTTTCTTTTCCAAGTGTAGAGAAGCTGTAAGCTCCGTGGTCTTGGGCAGGACTTTTGAAGCCTTCCTCTGAGGTTTAAATGAAAGTTCCAATATGTCCTGATGACAGTGATTTTCCGACACGAATACGCCTCACAGTCACCAGCAAGCTTACTTTCACAGACCACTGGGCCTCACTCTTAACACTTCTGGCTGCCGGGAGGCTTAGGAGTTTGCATCTCAACAAGTGACACTATGTTACTACTCCACCTTTTGAAAATGACTACAGGTTGGGGATTTAGCTCAGTGGTAGAGGGCTTGCCTAGGAAGCACAAGGCCCTGGGTTTGGTCCTCAGCTTGGAAAAAAAATGACTACATAATTAATTGATTTCCTTTTATAAAAATAGGACTGGGAGGGGTAGAAAGAGTCTAAGAGCCAGAGGTGTGTGTGGATCTGGATTGGATTCCCAGTACCCGCATGGTGGCTGAAAACCACCTGTAACTCCGGTTCCAGGGGATCTGTTGCCCTCTTCTGGCCCCTTCAGGCAATGCATGAAGGACAAATGCCCGTACACATTTAAAGAAAAAAACCTCAAGGTCTCAATCTGATCCTGGTTGTCCTGGAACTCATTATGAAGACTAGGTTGGCTTAGAACTTGTAGCAATCCTCTGTGACATGGGAATACTGATGTTTCCAATAAAGAAATGTGGTTGAGCTGTGTATATAAATTTGACAGCCGGGCGGTGGTGGCACACGTCTTTAATCCCAGCACTCGGGAGGCAGAGCCAGGAGGATCTCTGTGAGTTCGAGACCAGTCTGGGCTACCAAGTGAGTTCCAGGAAAGGCGCAAAGCTACACAGAGAAACCTTGTCTCGAAAAACCGAAAGAAAAAAAAATGACAGATAACTCTTTTAAGTAAAGGCTGTGAGCAGGCAGCTTCTCTAATGATGGCTGAACAAAGCATTGATCTATGGTATAACAGAATGGTATTAGGAGTCATTTTATTTTTATGTTATTTTAACAGAACAGTAGTATTTGGTTTTTACCATAGTAGTCTCTGGTTCTCGGTCATCAAAATAGTGTCAGTTATAGGTTCCATCTTGTGGAATAGGCCTTAAGTCAAATCAAATTTTGGTTGATTACCCCCAGAGGCTTTGTGCACCATTGCACTAGCATATCTTGCAGGCAGGACACATTGTAGATCAAAGGTTGTGGTTGAGTTGGTATTTACATTTTTCCTTTGGTAGCATGCAGAGTACCTGCTTGTACCAAAGACACTAGTGTGCAGGGGTGAGGTCTCTATGTAGACACCAGCTCGACTCCTCCGTGCTCAGTGAGTTGTGGAGGTATTGTCCTCAGCAATAGGGCCTTGTCATCAGTTTGTGGAGAGCAACCTATTGTCTTGGCAATAGTTTAGGTTGTTTGGGGGGTTTTCATGGAACCCCTTTGTCCAACAATTCAATTAGGTGCAACCCATTCCAGACACTGGAAGCTTCATTTAGTAACAAAAGATGTCTGGCTGGGGTTCTGTCTGCCCCATTATTTGGCAACTCCATTTAGATTGCTTTCATATATGTATATATTTTAGGAAGTTTCTACTGAATTAGTTTTCCATACTACCATTCAAATGGCCCTTAATTTTAGCTGTCTCTTTTCACATTCCTTCCTCATCCTCCTCACCCCTCCTCCTCTCCTCCTCCCTACTTGATCCTCCCATTCTAGCCCCTCCCACACCAATCCGTCCATAGCTATCTATTCTACTTCCCTTTCCTAGGTAGATCTATCTGTCCTCCCCTGCTCCAATCCCTTACTTTATACCTACCCTCTGTGGTTCTATGGAGTGTAGCTTCGTTATCATTGACTTAACAGCCAATGTACACATATAAGCAAATATACACCATATTTGTCTTTCTGGGTCTGGGTTACCTCACGCAGGATGACTTTTTTTCTATTTCTGTCCATTTCTGTGAATTTTGTGATTTCATTTTTTTTTTTTTTTTTTTTTTTTTTGGTTTTTCGAGACAGGGTTTCTCTGTGTAGCTTTGCACCTTTCCTGGAACTCACTTGGTAGCCCAGGCTGGCCTCGAACTCACAGAGATCCGCCTGCCTCTGCCTCCTGAGTGCTGGGATTAAAGGCGTGCGCCACCACCGCCTGTCGTGATTTCATTTTTTAACGGCTTAGTAATATTCCATTGTGTAAATATAACACATTTTATTTATCCATTCATCTGTTGAGGGACATGTAGGTTGTTTCCAGTTTCTGGCTA